GATAAATGTAGTATAAAAATTTTGTTACTATGCCCATGTTTTGTTGACCTGATACAAATGTTTATCATCCAAAAATAGCTGGGGGCACAGGTCTCTGTTATTGTTATTTTGTGGGTCAAAAGCTGAAAAGTTTGGGAACCACTGCACTTTGGTTCCCAAAGTTGGGCTTGGGACCCAATTACGAGTCATGAAGCACCTTGGATAATCTCCAGAAATCAATTTAAAGGGTAATAATTCCTGATGTAATATTTTCCCTATAACTATTATAAAATCACAAAATAAGTATAAATAAGTATTTATATTTGTGTACAAGCTGTTTAGATTGTCAAAAAAACTGTGTTTTTAGGGTTATTAACAAATTTTGTGTACTCAGACCAGTAATATTTGGGGTCACAAGTTTTTGCCATGGATATTTTGTGGGTCAGAAGATAAAAAGTTTGGGAACCACTGGAATAAGCTCCCTGTATGTTAAGTATTGCTTTTGATTTTATTTAAAAATTTAAGTATTAGTTTAACGGCTAAAACAAGTATGAAACATTAACTATGAAACAAGAATTTAACACTTAGCTCTGTTCTTAAATGCCTCATTTTTTATGTCTCTGAATAATTATTACTAAAGAGGGATTTTAAAGAACGACTCAGAGATACTGTTTGAAGCTTTTCCAAGTGAAACTATTTAAATAGGGCCCAAACAAGAAGCAGTCACTTCCTAAATGCCACATTATTTATAATCCACAGCTGACTGTAATGCATCTGAATGGTCATTAGAGAGGATGGATTTATTTTGGGGTTAAGTTAAACTGTGATCTACTGTGGGTCTTCTTTCACCGCTGTGCTGCTGAACTTCTTGGACTGGCCCATTACAAGCAGCCCGGGGGGGGGGGTGGAAGAGCTAACATTGTAAAAAAGCACCAAGTTAAAGCTATGTCTCACTCAATTGTTTTGTGAACTTAAGGAACAGAGGAAACAGTTTTCTTTGGACACATTCGACCTGCTGACCGAGGTTTTTAGGATGTCCGGTTAGTTTCGTCCCCCCCCCTCTCCCCGCCTGAATGGTACATCCTGAAAGTGGTCGGGTTTTCTGAGTGAACGAGGGAATCAATTGACAACATYGCGGGGGGTAAGTTCACGTCTGTCCTCTGTGGTGACCGTGAGAAGACAGGGACACGCTTCCACATGCTTTAATAAGTTTATCTCACCGCASTTTTCTTACACAGAGGGATTATTTGTTCAGGAGAAACGCGCTCTAAGTTTCTGGTTTCTGCTCTTTTTTTTTCTAAAGTTGGGAATGTTTCCTCAGTCTGCTGCTGGGAAAGGTAAGTTCATCCAAATGTGAGCAAACTAGGCTTTTACTTCTCTGTTTGCTTGTTTATGATTTAAACTAAGCTGCAAGTTGTAATTTAATCCTTGTCACTGTTTTAAACTTTAAACAGTGATTGGATAAACTATGAGAGGATGCTTAAAAACAGTTATTTCCTAAGAGACATTTTTAGTGTCATTAAAAAAGGCAGAAAATCAAGTTTTTTTGTTGTGTTTTTACTAAATATAGCTTAAAATAATAAATGATTTAAATTCAGAGGATGTTATAAGACAGTTAATTGTGTGTAATGTGAATATTTCACCTGATCAGAGAAAAAAAAAACTTTTAATCTTTTTTATTCTAGAGCAGAGAGGGACAGTTTTCCCTGTCTACAGCTGAAGACATGTTGTACTGGACCCTGTATGACTGCAGAGTTATGCTCCTGATCGTCCTGCTGTGGGATGGCCTCGGCGCTTTGGGAGTGAAACCCACAAGATGGCCACTGTACTCCCAAAAGCCCCTGCTTCTGGCTTGGAATGCCCCCACCCAGGAATGTGGCCCGTGGCATAAGGTGTCTTTACAACTGGACCAGTTCCAGATAGTGGCCAGCCCAAACGAGGGCTTTGTCAGACAGAATCTGACCATGTTCTACAGGGACCGCTTGGGTTTTTACCCCTACTTTGAGGAGAACGAAACTCCAAAACACGGGGGTCTCCCTCAGAAGGCCAGTCTCTCAGAGCACCTGGAGAAAATGCAACAAAGCGTTGAGAAGTACATTCCTGACAAACAGGCGGTGGGTTTAGCGGTTATCGACTGGGAAGATTGGCGTCCCATCTGGATACGTAACTGGGGACCCAAATTGATTTACCGCAAGCGCTCCATCGACTTGGTGCGCCAGAAAAACCCAACGTGGACCGAAGAACGTCTGACAAAAGTGGCCCAGCAAGAGTACGAGATGTCTGCCAAGAAGTTCATGCTGGACACACTCAGACACGCCAAACACCTGAGACCCAACAAGCTGTGGGGGTTTTATCTGTTTCCTGACTGCTACAACCACAACTACCTGCACTCTCTGGTGAGCTACACGGGTCGGTGTCCCGACCCAGAGGAGGCCCGGAACGAGCAGCTGAAGTGGCTGTGGAACGAGAGCACGGCCCTCTTCCCGTCCATCTACATGGGCACCGTGCTGCGCTCTTCGGTCTCCGGACGTCAGTTCGTGCGGAACCGCGTGAAGGAAGGGATGCGCCTGGCCTCGTCGGCCGATGGGCTGGCACGTCCTGTCTTTGTCTACACCCAGCCCACCTACGCCTCCTCCCAGGAACAGCTGACAGAGGTGACGCTCTGCCTTTTTTGTTGTCAAGACAAATCCGACTCCGCTGTTTCAAACCTTTTGTTTAGGTTTTTTTTTTTGTCTAAATGTGTCATTTCTCAACCAAAAGAGTCACAACTGAGGTGCGGCGCTATCAGTGCATGCTGAGCTGTTTAGTTTTCCTTATCGGCAGCCACAGTCCCTTCCTGTTCTGCATGCTGTCAGACTCTCTAACCACCACCTTTCATTTATGTAGCAGGATGGGTGTTGGTTGGGTTGAAAATCTGGCTAATGAYCAGCTCTGAAGTAGAGCCTCACACACAGTATTCCCTGAACAGTTTGACCCGGTTTTACAGCCTATGGAATCCTTTTTTTTGTCTTGTCTATAAACGTAACAAGTTGAATCATCTCTTCCAGACGGACCTCGTCTCCACCGTCGGGGAGAGCGTTGCTCTGGGAGCGGCGGGGATTATCATGTGGGGAGACGCAGCTTATAACAAAGTAAGAAGACAAACTCGTCRATCACTCAGATTCACTTTAGCGTGAACACCATCATGTTGGGAGTTTTTGACACTTGCTTCTTGCAGGTCACATGTGAAGTCATTTGACCCTCAAGAGGCTGTAGTTCAGTTAGTGATTACACTGTAAGTCATTTGTTCTTCAGTTACACAGGATTCAAGTATGTTGACAGAGACTTTCCTACTTGCAACCCCCTTCCACCCCCAGCTAATGGTTAATTTAAATTAAAGCAAAAACAATTCTTTTAAGTGTGAGGYGATGAGGAGCTCTTCAGAGTTTTGCAGGTTTTCTACATTTTTGAAGAATCTGTTTACCCAGTTTGCCTCTTAAATTGTTGTGTTCTTGGACATTGTTTTTGGAAGTGTTGTATAAAGTACCTCAAAGTGATACTTGAGTAAAAGTACAAGTGTCTTATCATAAAAATACTTTGGTAAAAGTGAAAGTCTTCTTTAAAAATATTACTTGAGTAAAAGTACAAGTGTCTTATCATAAAAATACTTTGGTAAAAGTGAAAGTCTTCTTTAAAAATATTACTTGAGTAAAAGTACAAGTGTCTTATCATAAAAATACTTTGGTAAAAGTGAAAGTCTTCTTTAAAAATATTACTTGAGTAAAAGTACAAGTGTCTTATCATAAAAATACTTTGGTAAAAGTGAAAGTCTTCTTTAAAAATATTACTTGAGTAAAAGTACAAGTGTCTTATCATAAAAATACTTT